TATGAAGCAACACCTCGGCTCAAAAGCCAGAGCCGGGGCAAATGCCCAATATGCTTATGCCATGCCAGAGGAATCCAAAGTAGACGCTTTGACCAACATCACGCAGCAGCTTGCTCAACAGCTAGCAGACATACAGAAGCAGCTGACATCGCTTACTGCTGCACAAGCTGGTCACAAGCAGAACCCTTCCTTCAATTCCAGTACAAAACCAAAGTCCAACCATCAAGGTCGATCTTCCAACAAAATCCCAGCAGCAGGACTCAAACCAGGTTACTGCTACAACTGTGGGGAAGATGGACACATAAGACCCAATTGTGACAATGATCCCAATCCATCACTTGTGGCCAACAAAAAGAGACAATTTGCAGAAAGACAAAAGAAATGGCATCAATCCAACTCTCATCCTGGGTCGTCTTTAAACTAAAGTCCGTTCCTATTGAGGGGCAAATGGGAACTGCGGAGGACAAACAATGTCCCACACAGCAGCCAGCCGTGAAGTGCCGCAGCCAGTCGCACTCCACAGCAACAGAAACTGCCAGATTACCGAGAGGCTTAATCGGATCCAGATGTACAGGCCAAGTTACTATCTCCGGCAAAGGTCTGCAGTGCCTGCTGGACACCGGATCTCAGGTAACAACTATACCTGTGTCAATCTATAATCAGTATTTTTCACATCAACCCGTTAACCCATTGTGTGAGCTGTTACAAGTAGAAGGTGCTGCCGGACAAGAAGTTCCATATTTGGGATATATTGAAGTGACTATTACCTTCCCAGAAGCATTCATTGGTGCTGACTTGGATGTCCATACTCTGGCCCTGGTGGTTCCCGATGTTGGATCAGGATTTCACTCGCAAGTCCTCATAGGGATGAACACCCTGGAGCCGCTTTATGAACAGTGTCTGGAGAGTGAGTGTGCTAGCTACAAGCCATCCCACCATGGCTACAGAGCAGTCCTTCAACTACTCCAGCTATGGCACCAGCGGACCCAAGGAGCCAATGAAGTTGTCATCAGGTTGACTAGTAAAACCCCTGTTCAAGTCCCATCGGGCCGCACTATGATTGTCAATGGTTCGTTCCCTGCCAATCCACCACCAGGTAGCAAGTGGGCTTTGATAGAGCAACCAACCACATCACTCCCTGGAGCCCTCTGTGTGAAAAGGTGCCTTGTAACACTGCCAAGTCACTCTCCATACAAGATCCCCATTATGCTCACTAATGAATCAGAGCAGAACGTTACACTCTCACCATTGAGTGTTATCGCTGAACTTACCATGTCTCCTCAGATTCTGTCACACTCTGCCAATTCGAAAACACCGTTGCATCCGGAAGTCAAACTGGAGTTCGATTTTGGTGATTCCCCAATTCCTCCGGAATGGAAGGACCGTGTCATATCCAAACTCGAACAGATCCCGGAAGTGTTTTCCCACCATGACCTTGACTTTGGACGAACTGAACACGTGAAACATCACATCCGCCTTCACGATGAGACACCCTTCAAACTCCGAGCTCGGCCCATCCACCCTCGGGATATTGAGGCTGTCCGTGACCATCTGCGCGACCTGTTGGAGACAGGGGTGATAAGAGAATCAGAGTCTCCTTTCTCTTCACCGATCGTGGTCGTGAGGAAGAAGAACGGTGATGTGAGGCTTTGCATTGACTATCGTAAGCTCAATCTTCACTCCATCAAGGATGCTTACACTCTCCCAAACTTGGAGGAGTCATTCTCAGCTCTCACTGGCTCACGGTGGTTCAGTGTCCTCGACCTGAAGTCAGGATATTATCAGATAGAGATGGCAGAGGCCGACAAACCGAAGACTGCGTTTGTGACCCCCCTGGGCTTTTGGGAGTTCAACCGAATG